CTGTTACACAGTAGTAACGTTTCTATCAGTGAGTGGTGTCATTTAGGTTTCACTGTCACACAGTAGTAACGTTTCTATCAGTGAGTGGTGTCATTTAGGTTTCACTGTTGCACAGTAGTAACGTTTCTGTCAGTGAGCGGTGTCTTTTAGGTTATACGGTGAAACTAATAATCCAAAGCTCAGTCCATGGGGTGATTTAAGGAAAGCGTTTTATATTATCTAACTATCTTATATATATTGTGAACCGTGGTGACTGTCCGAACGTTTGTCGGTCTCGCGTTTACGGCGGCCGCTTCCTCTGCTGCATTTGAAAAGCTGCGCATGCAGGCAAAGCTCAACATTCACTTTTGAAATGACGGGAGAACAAGCATGAATAATGTTGATACCAAATTTTATATCGCAAACAGGATATACTACACTAAATTGTCAAGAAGTAATCACACTGTCATTCACGTTTCAACATGTGATGGAACTTGCAGAATAAAAATGTAGATTTATCATATGTTATTGTTGAGCGACTCTTAGCATGACTGAAATGCTCAACAATTACTTTTCGCGATGCACATTATAAATATCATTAAAAGTATCTTTTTGTGTAACACAATTAACCTTTTTAAAGTCTATGAAATAATTTTAATTGACAGATTAACTTAAACTTTTCCCGTCACTGGGGACGGGTACTTTTGCTAGATTAACTTAAACGTTTCCTGTCACTGGGGACGGGTACTTTTAATTGTCTTGAATAATTCAGTTGTATATTCTATCTACCTCAGGTCACTATATTAACGACTAAATGCATACGGTGTGTACGCGCTTCAAACCTGAACAAATAGTTTCAGTGCTGTGGGAAACTGTGGGAAAAAGAGCGTACATTTTCTTCTTCCTGTATTGTATTGGCAACATTATGAAAATATCTTTGTTGCCTAATACAGTTTGATAGTTATTGTGTGCTTGTGTTTGAAATCAAACGCATATTTTCTTTCTATAAACTGAATAGATTCGTCAACATCCATTAGGTAAACACTGGAAATCGACACTGGATGTCGTGATTGTGCAAAATCTACAGTTCTATGGTTTTCATTGGTCACCTGTTTCAGGAGGCAGCTGACGCGTTTTTTCGTTAATTGATTGTAAGAAATAAGGCGCTGAATTATTCAGTTAATCTTCTACCATAAGTTCACCAAGCGATAGGCCTAACTTCACAAATAATGTTAGTCTTTTGCTTCACCCGTATTTCTAGTAAGTTGTTGAAACACAAACACAAAACTGAAGTAACAGAGAACTGATTAACACTAACCTAATAATAAAACCTATTCAGCCTAACTGTCACTTTTATATTGTTCAAAAAATTTCCTAAACCCTCAAGAAAATACCAGACATCACGCATTCATCACGTCACATCAAAACTCCCTGTAGCCAGAATATAAACGTCTAAATTAAGATAATAGTAATAATAATAAAACGTTACATGTAACAATCATAGTTCTTTGTTTGAAATTATTAACGTGAGTACAATTCATTTGTTAGTAAAGGGTTAGAAGTACATTTCGATGGTAACTTGAGACAAGGTTATAATTCGTTATTGTTTTGTTAATTCTGTCAGTATAATGTAATATAAAAAATATTGTAAACTGTTTTTTCTTTGTAAAATTCAAACTTTGTTTAAAGCTTATCTCCCAGTGCGACTGCGGTAAGTTGAGGGACTTACAACGCTAAAATTCAGCGTTCAATATCCCTTGGTGGATACAGCGGATAACCCAATATGGCTTTGTTCTAAAACAAACAAGTAAGCATAGACTTTTTAAAGTTTACCTAGTTTTTTTTGTTGTTGTTAAAAATCAGCAGAGAGTTATATTTTGAAATTCAATAATAATCAATGACAAAAGTGTAACTCGTATAAAAGTGATTTGTCTTTCGGTATTCAAAATAAGGCCTAACATTGTAATAGAACGTAAGATTATTATTTCAAGGCTTAGCATTGTAGTAGAACTGAAGATTATTATTTCAAGGCTTAGCATTGTAGTAGAACTAAAGATTATTATTTTGAAGGCTTAGCATTGTAGTAGAACTGAAGATTATTATTTCAAGGCTTAGCATTGTAGTAGAACTGAAGATTATTATTTTGAAGGCTTAGCATTGTAGTAGAACTGAAGATTATTATTTCAAGGCTTAGCATTGTAGTAGAACTGAAGATTATTATTTCAAGGCTTAGCATTGTAATAGAACGTAAGATTATTATTTCAAGGCTTAGCATTGTAGTAGAACTGAAGATTAACCAACTTAATAATAACTTTAGTTTAAGTTTTTCCTTGAAAATGTTTTTTGTTATGCTGTTAGCACTGTAGGGATGTATTTCTAGTCACGACCCGGCATGGGCAGGTGGTTAGGGCGCTCGACTCGCAATCTGCGAGTCGCGGACTTAATCCCCCTCCCGCCAAACATGCTCACGTTTTCAGCCATGGGGGTGTTATAATGAGACGGTCAATCCTACTATTCGTTGGTAAAAGAGTAGCCCACGAATTGGCGGTGGGCGGTGATGACTATCTGCCTTCCCTCTACTCTTTCACTGTTAAATTAGGAACGGCTAGTGCAGATAGCCCTCGTGTAGCTTTGCGCGAACTTCCAACCAAACCACCCACTCAGACTTTTGCCGAGATGTAACACGTCTCCTAGTGGCTCAGCGGTAGACGTGAAGACTTATAACTCTATAAATCAGGTTTTGATACCCGTGGTGAGCACAATACAGATAAGCCATTGTGTGGCTGTGTGCTTGACTACAAACAAAGTAATACTTCCTACAAATGGTTTCTCTCCTGACTTATTTTGGTTGAAAGTAGCTAGAATTGATCTCTAGAATTTAAAGTGTTTTAAATTCTCTTTGCATATTTTGTGTGGTGAAAATTAATTCAAATTATTTTCTTTGCTAATATGAATGCATCAGTTGTTGGTTTAAATGTTGAGATGCTACGATTTTATTTTATATCTAAAAATTCGATGATTCTTCCTTAAGTTTTTGATATTACTGTTATATATGTGTCTGTATTAGAGACTGTAAGTTTTAAAACACTTTTTTTTGCTGCTTTCAATTAGCCATTTAGTGTGTGTGTGTTAACAATGTTATCTTCCACTTGATTTGCTAGGTTTTTAGAATGCCAATAAACACGGTATTTTGTTTTTATTGTCGTGGAACTTTGTAGAATTAATAACGAAATTAAAGTTATGTTACAGTTGAAGATGTAGTTTTATTTCATATCACAGATGTACATACATCACAGTGGTGTAGAAAGGAGTTGCAAAGTGGGGTGTTTGGCTAGACATGGAGCCAAAAATTATATAATAATATTGTTTACAGCTTCTATATAAGTCAAATATGTAAAAGTATGGGTGCTACAGAAACCCCGGTTCCGACGACTCCGCATCAGATGTATTTGTTTGGGCTCCTTTATAAAGGTGCATATACAAGCAAGAATCGTTGGGCAGTTTAAAAACAAGAAAAGAGAATTCGGGTTGTAACTGTTCCCATTTGTACATATACTAAGCGTATGAAAGTATAACTTTGTATATTCGTTTGTAAACATAAGGATGTTAGAAAATCTCAGTTATAATTTATATTCATAATTTAAATAATATCTATTGTACGTCTTAGTACTATATATATTGCGTAGTGATCTGGCACTACTTTTTTCTTGTAAATGTATATAACTTTTTCAAGTAAAACTGTCTTAGTGGAACAACTCGATATAGTACAAAAGATACTGGGAAAATATAGAACGTGTGATAGAATGCTACTGGATCAAAAATCTGGAAATCACGAGACTACTGGATCAAAAATCTGGAAATCACGAGACTACTGGATCAAAATCTGGAAATCACGAGACTAGGCCATTGAATCTATTTAAATATATTTTTATGGTATCCTCGGCAAACTACAAATAGGCCAAAAATTCATAATGAATACATAAAAAGGAGAAATATGGTTAGACATTGAACTGGGCTTAACGCAGAGCGAAGAAAGAAACATTTCTTCACTTTCAAATTTGAGCCCAAATCTGTCTTTGTTCTCTCCTACTCCAATTATATAGCGGTTCGATTCCTCGCGTTGGACACAACAAACATGGAATATAATACAGGAATTTTAGATACCTTATTATTTATAGGACAACAGTAAGTCTATGGACTAAAAACCCAAACATCCGGGGTTCGATTCCTCGCGTTGGACATAGAAGATAGCCCAACGTGGCCCAACAAACATGCAATATAACACAGGAATTTTAGATACTTTATTGTTTTCTAACAGACCCAAATTAATTATGAATTAATCAAAGTTTCTAATATTGTACATCCACACTTTTCTAAAATATTATAATGTAGTAATTTCAATAATTACTGTACTGAGTGTAGTTCATTAAGTCTTGACCAGGTAAATACATGTCTTATTACCTTTATGTAAACTCATAAGTTTAAAGGAAAAATCTACCATGATTTGATACCAAACAAAGCTTGACGACTATTTTTAAAGTATTACTATGATATTTTCAAATATCAGTAAGTTTTCTTTTTCTGTTTTCTGTTTAAGTGTGCAATTGTTAATTCAAGAAAAAAAATATTTCCGCAGTCATCAGTCTGACGTAACCATAGTAGGTTGAATGTGTTTGAGGACAATACTATAAAGATCCATTTTGTTAATTGTCTTTATTATACAGACGGAAGTGTAGTAGGCTTAACTGAATGAAACAGAAATGTCTTTAGAACTCGAGTTCAGGAAACATTAACTGTAATATACAATATTTAGCCTCACGCCATCTGTAGTATACAGTGTGCTATGTGTAACCCTTACTACAGCAGGTGGCTCTAAAATAAAACTTTGTGTATTAAACTGTTTCCTGGCTTTCCTTTTTATTTTATTACAAAATTACATTTTTCGACGCCCTTATTACGTTGCAGCTAATAGAAGAAATCGCAATAACAAGAAGCATAGAAAAAAAGTTATGCAGAGTTAAATCTGAATTGACAAAAATTGACCAAGGCCCGGCATGGCCAGGTGGTTAGGGCGCTCGACTTGCAATCTGTGGGTCGCAGGTTCGAACCCCCGTCCCACCAAACATGCTCGCCCTTTCAGCCGTGGGGCGTTATAATGTGACGGTCAATCCCACTATTCGTTGGTAAAAGAGTAGCCCAAGAGTTGGCGGTGGGTGGTGATGACTAGCTGCCTTCCCTCTAGTCTTACACTGCTAAATTAGGGACGGCTAGCGCAGATAGCCCTCGTGTAGCTTTGCGCGAAATCCGTAACAAACAAACAAATTGACCAAAGATAGCGAATACAATTAAAAATCAAGCAAAAAAAAAACCACTATTCATCCAAAACACAAATAAGATGACAAGTGAACTGTTGATGGACAACATTACTCTCTAACTGTGTGATATACGCTATGTAGTCATTCCATAGTAAAAATAGGGAGAGCACAGCCTCCAGCCATCTTTACATCTCGCTAGAGAAACTAACTACCTGAAACTAAACCACATAATTTTACAATTCTACCTTCCATTACTAAGACACTGGAGAATAAGTTGCATACTATAACTAGTCTCGCTACTGTATGCGAATATGTGTGAACGAATACCGAGAATTGTAGATGAGTATTTTACGTTCATCTGTCTAAATTGAAAGGAAAAGAAACACGTGGTATGTTTGATATACCACGATATAATACATTGGACAGATGAATTTTTAGCGTTTTGAAAATATTAATATTTAGGGGTTTTTCTTACTGGAAGAACCTTTTTTTCTCGTAGTTATTTTTTGTCATCGTCAAAATATATATATTCTATGAATGAATAAGTGGTAATCTCAAATGTCAACCTTATCTCACAGTTACCTGATCTTGCAACAAATAGAGAATCAAGAACCTAGTATATGTAAGAGCAAGTGGAATAAAAGAGGCACAGCACGGTGTTGAAGACAAAATAAAACTTTTTTTTTCAGAAGAACAAACAGAAGAAATGCTGATCAACACGTAGCAGACTATCGACAAGTAATGCAGAATTAAAAAAGGTTAATTAAATCAATTTTATTTAGAAACAAAATAAACTGTACTTGTGTCTAAAAGAAAGTTAAAAAGTGCACGATCAGAAAGTTAGGGGAAACAAAAATGAGGTTCCACAAATAAGTCTGGACTCCTTTTAACAGACACAGGTGTATTTGAAAATACCAGTGAATCACATTCTTTCTTTAGACGACAATCAGAAAGTCAGATAACAAGAATCTAGAAGTATCTGTGCTCTATGTGATTATCATGAAGTAGTCCTTTATAGAGTTCTTGCATGTGACATCATAACACTTCCTGTTTCATTGAGTGACGTCATATTAGACGTCAAGCACTACCTTTTAGAAATCCATATCAATATAAAATTCAGTACAGCTTCAATTCTTTCAATGGTGTAAACACCACATTTGGCATAAGATGTGGATCATAAACTCATTTTTTTACGTACATTTCTGGTATTATTTATAGAATAAGATAACAAGATAATAGAAGACAAATTTGTCATTTTTAACAAAGGATAATGTAAACATTTCATGTTCAATATGGCAGATTAAACAGCGAAGCTCGTGACTTTGTGATGTCAATCCAAGATAACACACAAAACACGTGACATAGCTTCTGAGATAAGATTCTCCTAAAAAAGAAGCACCTTGTGCTGAATTAACACATGACATTGACTAGATTTAGGATGTTACAAATTAGAACTTGCATAATCTTTTAAATTTTGTAATTATGGAATATATATATATACAATGGGAGAGTTACATTGTAGTTTTTGCATACAATAAAATTTAAATAATAATGGCTGGAGACGGCTTAAATGGGTAATGAAGAAAAACTTTAATATAAG